AACTTGCAGCCTTTCCAACCCAGATTTCTAGTGCCCTGAATTGTTTAATTGTTTAATGGCTGTACCTTGAACTACAGTCACCCTGAAGATCTCAGTCAGCTCGGCTGCAAGATGTGTCTCCGAAAAAACAGCACGGCCAAGTCAGCCAGGAGCGCTCAGAGGCTCCTCAGCGAGCACAGAATCGATCCTGGAGGCACCAGGGGCAAAACCCCACTGCTTGGAGAAATCCTGCTAGGAGAGTCCCCCGATTAACAAACTAAACTAAGCCCTCAATCAAGAGAAGGCTCAGTACTGGTACTGGAAGCTCCTTCCACGGTGGAGTCTGGAAACATGGTGGATATAAAAAACACTGATGGGTATTTGTCTCCTCCTAATTCTGTTGGCCAGACCCAGGTTTCAGTGTTGTGCCCACATCACTGAAAGCTGAAATGGAGCAAATAAATTAGGATGATCATCCCTATGGCATCTGGAGAGCTTTTAAAAGAGGAGGACAGTCCACAGCCTCTTTAATCCTTTAAATTGAAAAGAAAAGGGTAATTTCCCCTTACAGGTAAGTAAAGACCCCTAAGCCAGTTAAAATGTTTTTTGGAACAACTACACAGCTAAAGCAATTAGGAATGACATTTGCTGGAAGAGGAGGTATTTTTAAGATGTTGTTTAACTATCTCATGTCCTTTCCATAATAATCTGGCAAATTCTGGTCCTCCTTACTCATCTCATAGCAAACACATTTCACCACACAAAAGAGATCTTATCTCTTGGGAGTTACTTTTAGAAAATGCTTAAAAAACAACCAATTAGCAGAGTCTGTGCACTGGGGGGGAGGAGGGGAGGGTTGCTGGAAACAGGGGAAAAATAAGTGAAAGCTGCAGCTTCACTTGAGAAACCAACAACCAAAATTCTGCTCTTTAAAGGAGTTCCTATCAGAAAAACAACAGCGAATCACAATAACAAGGCAATTCTCATACATTCCATCCAGGCCTAACTGGGCAGCTTTTCCTCCAAAATGAAAAAGCCTCAGACTCCCTTCAAATCCTGGTTAACCACGGGGCAGAGTGCTCAGAGTGCCCACGAGCACTCAGGGCACATCCACCCCCCACCATCCCTGCCCAGCACACAAGAGCTTTCTCCCAGCTGGCTGGGACACAAACCCATCCACTCGAGATGCTTTCTCAATTTGGCACTGAGGATGACTAATAAAACGTGGATCAAATTCAACAGCTCCACTGAAAATGAACAAACACCTCTTTGTCTCCCATCAACAATGTCCAAGGAAGGCCTGGCCGTGGCACTCAGAGCTCTGGGCTGGGGGACAAGGTGGGGATCAGGCACAGATTGGACCTGATGATCTCAGAGATCTTTTCCAACCTAAATGAGCCTGGGATTCAGCCAGGCGTGCTCAAGGAAAGATCCTGGTGAGAAGGGTGCAAGGTGGATAAATCCCTGCATTCCCCCAGTGCCATGAATGCCAGCACATCCATTTTAATCCAAGTCCAGAGCTACGTTTTGAGGAAGCAAGTGTAAGAAGGCAACATCTATTTCCTCCCTTTGTTCTCAGCATTAAAAATAAGAGTTAGCACATTTAATTTTCTTATCTGTTATTCACATTAGTTGTGTACTACCCACCTACCTAAAGTATTTGGGTACAGAATGCATGTTCAAGTGCCCTGCTGAGCAACTCCCTGCCCTGAGGCTTCACCAAATTATTGCTTTTCAAATTAATAATCAGTTCTCCACAGGACACAAGACTACTGCAGCAAACCTTCCCAGCTGTTGCCTTGGGAAAGACCAGGGACAACGCCCTCCGAAGATGTGCTTTGCCCAGTCTTATGTAGTGACTGTAGTGATTTCAGAAGGCTCTAAATATCCTCAAATCACACTAATTCTTTCTCTTTCTCACATGATTTTTTTCTCTTCCAGTAGGTTCCATTTTAAGCACACAGATTTCAGGGTTTATTCAAAACCCCCCATCAGGTCATCAGTTCCTTCTTGTGGGGGAGGGAAACAGCAAATTCAAGAGTTCCTTATCCCTGTCCCATGAGTAATCTGATGGGAAAAGGCCAGGAGGAGATGCTGAAACACTGGCTAAATGCCAGGGAGAAGTTCTGAGTGCTTGCAGCACAGATCTGCCATTGGAAAACACACCAGGGGACACAGAAACTGGACATCTGAGGAAACCCACGCCATGGGCAGCAGTGAGAAGGATCCCCAAACCATCTGGGGCAAATATTCAATGGATAATTTAGGACTTTGTAGGAAGAGCATCAGTAACTGTACAAATGGAGACAATTAATCCAAGTTATGCTGAGCAGGGTGGGCAGGCCCTGGCACAGGTTGCCCAGAGAAGCTGTGGCTGCCCCTGGATCCCTGGGAGTGTCCAAGGCCAGGTTGGACGGGGCTTGGAGCAACCTGGGCTGGTGGAAGGTGTCTCTGCCCAGGGAAGGGGGTGGCACTGGATGTCTTTAGGTTCCCTCCCAACCTAAACCATTCCATGACATGCATGGACACTAAAGCTCCCTCTTCCCCCACATGTACAAGGAAAAAAACTTTTTAATAGTATTATTTCAGAAAAACAAAGATATCTGCAGCCTGAACTGCCATAAAAACCCCCAAATGTGTCCTTCAGCTAACAGAAGGGACAGAAACTCCTTACAAAGGTACCTGCTTGGAATTTCACCCACTTCCACCTCCTTACCCTGACAGAGTCCACAAAAGGTTGAACATCCCATTGCACATCAGCTCCTGAGGCAGAGACATGGCAGAGCTTGAATCCTGATCCCTGCATTTGGGGCTGCCTTGTCAGGCACAGAGCTGACAGCAAAGTGCTCTTACCACATCTAGGAATAAATGCACTCCATAATTCCTGCATTGGAATGTCTTCTGGAAATTAGAGCATTATTTTTAAGTATTTATAATGTAAAAGTGACGAGGCACATACTGAGTACCTAATTATCTTGCACCACCAGCATTGCCTGGAATGCTTATTAATCAATTAGGCTTTTAGATTAAAGTTAAATAGACACAGAACACCTCTGAAAAGAATACCTGAACCAGAAGATGAGATTACCCAAAACCATCTGTTTCACCCTCAGTGTCTCAGTTACAACAAAACAGGCGAGTGACTGTGCGAGATCCAACTCCACAGACTCCATCCCCACTCCCACATCCCCACGGCTCTGCAGGCTGGCACTGGGAAGCACCTGCTGGGGTTTGTTTACAAGGGATTTCTTTTGCAAAGGGCTTTTTTTTTTTTTTTATATATTTTTCTCACTCACCCACCATCTCCCCGTATCTCCTCTCACCAATCTCCTCCTCCTCCTCCTCCCAGCACTGAGTGCTTGCCAGGGTTTCAGACAGCAGAAGGTTCCACCACACGAGCAGAAACCCTCCAGAAATCAACAGGGCCGGCGTATTCAAAGCAGCATTTTGGGGTGTTAAAAGTTAACCACCCTGTAAAGTGCTACAGGGAGAGCCACAAAAATCACAACATCCTTACATAAAGCTCTGGAAGCGCCAGATCCTTCTCGGCAGCCACACGAGTGATTTATACCTTAACACAAAAACCTGCTGCAAGAGAAGGAGCCACAACTGGTGGCAAAAGAACCGCGAGTCTCCCCAAATTCACACGTGCAGGTTGTAACGGATCCAGCCCGGAATTCTTTCCCAGCACAGATGAGATTTTCGAGGCTTGATGGGTTTGGGGGGAGTTCTGGTTAGTTTGGGGTGGGGGTGGGGTTAATAATGGAGGTCTATGGTTTGTAAGAGCTACTGAAAGCAGACTGGCTTTTTTTCCTTTTTTTTTTTTTTTTTAAGTTCTTGTGGAACTCCCCCCTCCAAACTAACGGATGTTTAAAGCATATTTAGTGGCTCGGCTAAAGCGAGTAATGAGCGTTACGTAAGATGTCTCTCCATGTAGAACAATCTGTTCCAAAAGTTACCAAAAATAGCAATTCTCTAAACACTGCTGTGATGCAATATTTAACCACTTACTGCATTAACAGGCCAATTTGTCCATTAGACTTCAAAAAATACATATGCATCCTTCAAAACGTCAAAAAAAATATATATACACTTCAAAACTTTAAAAAGTATGTATATACTTCAAAACTTAAAATATGCATGTGTATATTCAAGTGTTCTTACAATGTTTTCTTACCTAGGCTGGTTATACATAAAAAAGAGTATGTATATATACTTCAAAACTTAAAAAAAAGTATATATTTGCTTCAAAAATTAAAAAAAAATACATATGCTTCAAAACTCTAAAATATATATATATAGTTCAAAAATTTAAAAATATATATATAGTTCAAAAATTTAAAAATATATATATAGTTCAAAAATTTAAAAATATATATATATAGTTCAAAAATTTAAAAATATATATGTGCTTCAAAAATTTAAAAAATATGTATATGCTTCAAAACTTTAAAAAACACATATATATTACAGAACTTTAAAAATATATATATATGCTTCAAAACTTAAATATACATATCTATATACATACTCCAAAACTTGAAAAAGTATATATACTTCAAACTTTAAAAAATATATATAATTACATGTATTATATATAATATTATAATAGATATAATATATATCATATATAGTCTATATAATGAACTATGTCTTTAATATATAATATATAGTCCATATAATATCCTATTAAAGTCTATATAATGTATAGAATATATAGTGCATATAATATCCTTAGTCTATATAATATATATTATAATATATAGAATATAAAATAGCCTATAATAGTCTATATAATATATAATACAAAATATAGTCTATATTATAGTCTCTATAATATATATTATGTATAACGTACAGTCTATATACCTGTAATGTGTAATCTAATATATCCTCTATAATATATGAAACATACATAATATATACAATTATTTATCCTCTATAATAATATAATATTGAATCCCCCTGCTACTCCGTGTGTTCACACACGGAGTCTCGAGCGCCGTGCGCGGGGTCCTTACCGAGGCTGGTGGGTTTGATGAGCTCGTCCAGCAGGTCGTAGAAGGGCAGTTTCTGCAGTTTGATGTCGGGGTGCACGGGGTGCAGGGCGGACGCGAGGTGGGGCAGTTCCAGTTCGTGTTTGGGTCCCAGCAGGGAGACGGGGAGCAGCGGGGACGTGGCGGGGTGGCCGTCGTAGCCGAGCTGTGGAATGGTGGATGGAGACAGCGTGGCCGGCATGGAGCTCGAGTGCACGCTGGGGATGGACAGGTCTGCGGGGGTCATGATTTTCTGGGGGAACCTCCTCCGGTAGAGTTCTTTGATTTTCATCTGCACGGCGGGGCTGCAGCCGGCCTTGAGCAGGTGCAGGGCTTTCGTGAGCAGTTCGTGTTTGCGGCCGTGCTTGTTCCTCCCCGCGTAGCCCAGCAGCACCTGAAGTTCCGAAACTCGAAGGCTCATAACCATTTGCTTCAAGGGAACAACACACAGAAGAATCAGCACTGGGGTTAACAGCATCTCACACAGCAACAGCAGAAAGGGGGGTAATCCCAGGGAAGTTTTTAACAGCTCGGGAAGCACCGCTTGTGTCAGTGGCTACTGTCACCTCTTACAACACGCTGTTCGAAGAAACTCCCAATTTCTGCTTTATTCGGCCTTTTATCAGCTCCACCAGCAAACCCTGTGTCTGGCATGGCCCTAAAGCTCAGAAGAAAACCCACATGCAGCAAACCAACCGAGTCCTTTTCCCATACAAACCCTGTAACAGCCCAGCTGGTTACCAGGGGAACTGTGCGAACAGTCCATAAAAACCTGAGGTTGGTCAGCCCTGACATCTGACTTCAAACTTCAACCTGTCCAAGCAGGAGCAACTGTTACCAAAACAGGTAGAACACTGGGGGGGTTGGCCCAGGCTGGACACCAATAGCCACCTTTTTAAAGGGATTTCCATTCCTGAAGGACAGCAATGCTGGAAGGAAGAAGCACTTAGAAAAGGACAAGTTGCCAGTAAAAAAAATAAAGCTGTAAATGTAACTGTTTCTTAATCACTGCAAACGTAATTATTGTAAATACTTATTGTAAATAATTACATTTACGATAAATGTAATTATTTCTCAATCCCTGTCCCTCAAGCATCTAATAATGTTGAAAAGTTTGGATTCCTCTAGTTGGATGTAAAGGAATTTATACACTGACAACATCCAGGCTGTGCCAGTCCTTAACTCTGGAACACCTCCCTTCCCAGCCCTCCCCTCCCTTTCTGCCATGCAGAACTAATCCCCACAGGTTCAAAGGAAAGGAGGTGAATGGCTGATGTTCAAAAGAGAGAGAAATTATAATCCCATTTGTGTGCAATCCCCTATCATCGTTCCTGGGTTAAAGGAAACATCTTCTGATTCCATTTCCTTCCTTCTCACCTCAGAGCTGCGTGTCCTGTTGGGGATGGGGGAGCTGGGCTGTGCCTTCTGTTAATTAACATCTTCATTTACACAGTCATTTACTGTCTCCCAGTATGAATCAAACTGGTAGGACTTGTCAAGCGTTCCACTTCTTCAGGAACCCAGAGAAACACTTTGCTTTAAAGCAGGGAAGCCCAGAATCCCCTGTGAGCACCTGCTGGGCACAGGGAGCCAGCAAAGCCACCTCTGAGCCCGGCTTCCACCTAAAAGCTCAGCTCAGTGCTTGGCAGTGGCTTATTCATCATCAGAATCCTGCAGAATTTCGGATTCCCAAGAAATCCCAAGCAAGTGAAATGCCCAGAACCCACTGCCACAACTGGCAGTCTGTACAGAACCATTAAATACCCTTGACAAAACCCTTACTCATACCCTGGAGTATTTAGTCAATCCCAAAAGATCAGACTCAAAGTAATTCTTGATGGATATCACTGGGACTAAACCAGCCCAGCACATGAGGCTTCTGCAATTCCCCAGCCACACCAGAACTCGCATTTGCAGCCTCTCAACTCAAGTCCAAATGCTCCCATCCCTCTCTAGTCCTTCACACTGGGCAAAGCATTCACACACATTAATTTTTTTCACGTTAAATCTGAAGTGCCAGTATTAGAAAGTGTGGCATCCTTACTTTTAGCAAAACCACCCCAAAACTCCCGTCAATCCCTCAGACCTCCAGCACCTGCAAGAGACGTTGTAGGTCTCCTTGTAGGATTTCTCTCCACTGAAACCACATCACTGTCAAGCCCTAAATTAGCTGATTCACGTATTTAATGAGGTTTGCACCCAACCAGACTGAACTCAAACCTGCCACAGTTCTGCTCTGCTGAACCACAGCCTCAGAGTTCAGGAACCTCGCTGCCAATCCCAGATAAACCTTCCCTGCAGACTTCCACAGAGCCTTTGGATGGAACAGGAATTCATTTCTCAGCCTGAATACCCTGAGAACTTTCTTCACACTTTTTGAAACGACGGGACTGTCACCGAGCTCCTAATGAGAACAGACGAGGTAGCTGAAGAAATTGAGATTTCTTACAAGAATAAGGCACTTCATTACAGTCTGAAGTGTTGACAGTCGAAAGTGAAACAAATAGATTTGAAACATGGCAAAACCACTATTTATAACGCTTTACAAACATTTCTTCAACAGAACGAGTAGCTACAGCTGAAGGGTTTAATGCCACCACCATTAAAAGTCACTTCCTGAGCAGCCAGAACCTCTCAGAGCTTCACTCTGTTCTTGTTTTGTGATAAACTCAAAGGCCCAGCTTGCAAAAAACAAAGAGGATTAAGAAATAACTGAGCCAACAGTGAAGCTCCTGCTACAGGTTGGATGTTTTCCATTTTTAAGGTAAAGGCAGGTTAGAAAGGAGCCTACAGAAAGCAGGGTCCACACTCCCAGACCAAAACAAACAAAATTCCCCACATCTTCCCCACCCCGGCACATTCCTGACAGAGGAGACAAGAACAATTTTGTTTGCAGTGCTCAGGGCACTACAAAATCCATCCCTGAAAAACCAGCACTAAAGCCTGGTTGGTTTATTACAGCTCCAGACTCAACAATAAACCTTTCTTTCTCATCAGAAATGGAATAAAGAGAAATATAAAATACAGAGAGAGGCAAAATAAAGAGAGGCAGCGGTTTAAATAAGGAGAGGCAATGAATATAATAAAGGGAAAATATATAAAAATAAAGAGGATATGCCTTAAAACAATCCCCCCCCACACACATTTCCACAGGGTTGTGCCAGCGGATTGTGTCCATCAGTGGCACTGGGAAGCAGAGCCTGAGAAAACAGGGAAAAATCTCACAGGTTGCTGCAACATGAATGGGAAAATTCCTCTGCCCTCCTCCAACACGGTGGTTTTATTTGAGGACACAGCCCAGCCCTACCAGAAGTGCCCCTGTCCAACCCCATGGCACACTGGTACCCTAATCCTGGAACAGGCAGGGTAATTCCAGCAGGGACACGAACCCAACACACAAAACCCCTCAAAAACCTGCAATTTCTATTTTTTTTCCCCCCTGTCACATCTCACCTCATCACAATTCCAACCCCTCGCTGGCTTAGCTGCAGCAGCAAAGCTGAAGGGCAAAGACACAAAGCCTTTTGCTTCAGGAAATCTCGCTTTTCTTGCCTGTTGCCTGAAGGAGTTGAGCAAAGAGATCACAGGGACAGAACCCACCCCAAAGAGTGTGACCCCAACAACAGCAAACACCCACAGTGCAGTAACTGCCCCCACCTCTGGCTGCCTGGTCAGAATCGGCAAAACGTTTGGAGCTTGCTTTCCTACAGGAAATAAAGTAACAAAACAACAACGAAAAGCTGAATTAAAGAGAAATAAAAGGATGTACCCAGTTCCCAAGGACTGACTGCGGGATCATCTTGCACACTCTGCAATTCCAGTTATGGTAAATAGTAAATACCTGCTCCTACAAACATCACTAGTGCACAAAAACTGATGCCATTTAGCCGCAAAAAGGTTGAGCTCTTTGCCACTTGCCCCACTGGGGTGTGAGAAACACAGAGAGCAAAGCAGTTCCAGGTCCAACAAACCCCAGCACCAAACACACGAGGTGCTCTGCTGATGTCGTGCTTTTTGGTACCTGTCACACCCAGGGAATACCCAAAATCCAAAGAGAGGGCGAGGACAGTGGGAAGATCCTTCAAAGTGTAAAAGAGATGATGAACAAGCCTCACAAAAACCTGACTTATCTCAGGTTAGCAGCGACTTTCTGTTTTGTGTAAACACCTTCCCGGGGTGTAGAAGGCAACTCTCATCTACAAACACGCAGCTGACATTTCCTGCTCGACAACACAACTCCAACACGTGTTCTCTGCTAAAGGAATCAGTCATGGGATTGCTGGATCCTTATCCAACGCTCCCCCTCCAACGTTCCCTCACCCAAGGCCTGAGATCACACTCCATCCATCCCATCCTTCCCCAAGCCAGCTGGGCATTCCACTGCCATAAGACAACGTCATTCCCTTACCTCTCTCCATCCACAGGAAAGGGATGCTCTACCCACAGCTCTTCCACTTAAAAGCTTAAAGATGTGAAAATTATTTAAAGTAAGAATCATTCACTTTGGTTTTCTCTGCAAGGACAACAGCAGAGGTGAAATCTCTTTTCAGTTCAGTTGTTCCAACCACCAAGGAAAGATGCCCAGGCTGGGCAGATTCCTGACTGGAGAAGTCCAACAGGTCAGAGCCAAGAAAACTGCTTTCAGGAACTGGGTCTTGTCTCACTGACCTAGGAAGGCTGAGAATGAAGTTTAAACATTAAAAATATAAGTGTTATTGCCTCTGGGTAAGAAATTCCTTTGCTAACCCTGCGCCCAGGATTCAGGGATGGGCACTAAAGAGCAGGATTCAGACAGGGAACTTCATTTCTGCACTGGAAAACACACACAGGCTTCAGCACTGGCTGGAAATGCAGGAAGATGAGCTGCAAGTCCTGCTGCTCCAGAAAGGATCAGGTACAGGCTATCTGTGAGATCCAACACCACCCACAGTGACCTGCACCCTTCTTCCCGTTTTTTGAAGGGAGGGACTTGTCTGAGAGGGAAAAGCCAGGCAGCAGCCAGTATTTAATTCTTTTTTTTTTATATAAATTGGGCAGTGTTCACAGTGTGATGCACAAGATGATGGTTTCAAAGCCCTTTCATCCACCTGTGGCAGCACCAAGAGCTCCAAGAGCTTGATGGGTTCTTAGAAAGGGTATTTCTCCATCTCCACTAATCAGCCCCACGATCTACCTGGAGAATCCAAGTTATTTCTGGATGTTTATGATAACTGGAAGCTGTGAATAAGCTCCAAAACACATTCAGAAGATCTGCCAGCACAACAAGAAGCATCTGGCTTGGTACCACACCGCACTCAGTGCCTAAAGCAATACAACAGGTCCTCCCCAATTCTCCAACCATTTACAGGGAAGATAAAGGGGAAAAAATGAAAAGGAAAATAAAAATAAAAATCACTCAGACACCAGTCAAAAGATGGAAGAAGAGAGTAA